TGCTGTTACTACCACTACTACTGCTGCTGCTGCTGCTACTACTACTACTACTACTAGTACCACTACTGCTACTGCTGCTGCTACTGCTGCTGCTGCTACTGCTACTGCTACTGCTGCCACTACCGCCAGCCACTGCCACGACCACGAGCACGACGGTCACGACCATGACCACCATACCCACGGCCATTGCCACTGCCACCGCCACCACAACCGCCACCCCCACCACCACGACCGCCGCCACCGCCACCGCCACCGCCACCACCACGACGACGACGATGACGACGACTGCCACTACCACTACCTTGTGCTGTTCACTGTGTACTGACCATTGTCAATATCATACTCGTCGCCAGTCATCATCGCTGCGGTCACTTCAGCGTGAAGGATTGAGCCAGCTCTAGGTCCTGAGGGAGTGTATTTACTTGCTGGATTCGCTGCCGAAGTGTGGTTCCGGTGCGCGGTAAAGTAACACGCGCAGTGAGACCTTCGATGTCAATGTCCAGGAGAAGGAGCGCCTGGATGCAGAGCACGAAGCAAAGCAGGTTCGATCAGGGGCCGGTCCGAAGCCTCCGAAGCCTCCGAAGCCTCCGAAGCCTCCGACCTCGACATGCTTTGGGTTCTCTCCTTGAAGACACAAGCGCAAGCAGAGTTTCCAAGTTTCTGCGAAGCTCCAGAAGAGAGCCGGAAATCCTGAAAGCAGCAAGTGTCGAAACCTTATCCCCTTTAGCCAATTTTTAGCCTCTTCAAGCACCCGAGCTGTGAAAAGGCGGAGCTCCGCAACGTTGAGGGCCAGCGGCAAGAGGCCGAGGCCGGCTCGAGGGATTCTGACAGAAAGGGCAGTGACCCCCGCTTCAGGTCGGAACCCTAAGCCCCAAACCCTAAACCCTAAGAAAAACCCTTAACTTGACCCTACACCCCCTACACCCCCTACACCCCCTGAACCCCCTGAACCCCAAACCCTCAACCCCTACACCCTAAGTTCTAAATCCTAAGGTTTCCTAAGGTCCCATAAGCTGCCATGAGCCATTTGAGGACCTCCTGCGCCGTGCAGAGGGAGATGTGGAGACTGCGAAGCAGGAGCTCTTCGAGGCACTATGACAGTTAAAAATAGAGTGTAGAATAGCATTACATTGTTGTGCTATAATACAGTTTATAAATGTTTATAATATAGTGTAGAATATTGAATAGTATTATATATTGTGCTATAATACAGTTTAGCAAAATGTGGCATGCTAAAACATAGTATAGTATAATGTGGTATAATGCAGTTTAGCAACATATGGCAAAGTCTGTCACATACAGTGTACTACGATAATATAGCATAGTATACTATGGTTCATTACAAGATATTATAGCAGAATATGGTATAAGATAACTTTTTTTTATAGTAGAGCGTTATATGGTACAATGTCATCATACTGCAAAGTAAAGCATAGAATAGTATAGCATAATATAGTATAGTTTAGTTTAGGATTCCCCAGATGGAGCTTAACGTGTGCCAACTCTTGATAGCACGCTGGTGGTTACAAGTCTTTCTAGTTGGGTCTGGCATCGTCGACTGGGAAAGCAGTCTCATGTGGACCAGCTGCTTCTCGTCTGTTGCCGTGACTTTAGGGTTGAGGTTTCAGGGTTTGGGGTGCAGGGGTTTAGGGGTTTCGGGGTTCAGGGTTTAGAGCGTTAGGGGTCAAGATTGTAGGTGGTTGCGTTGTTGGTGTGAGTGCGGGGTTGCTTTGCGGCTTGGGCGACCGGGCATTTATCGACAAAGACAGAAACCCCCGAGTGGAATTAGATCGAAGCTCGTGGTGTTTACTTTCTGGAGGCCCAGAAGGATCTTCAGCAGAAGTCCGGATTAGAGGAGAGACTTGTCTGCAACGATCATTGCTGTCCGTCCTGGTGGCCATTCCGGTTTCGATGCGTGACGGACTCTGGTTGGTCAGCCAGAGTGTAGCACCGTAGTCAAAATCTGCAGTCACAATGCATGCTTGAAGCGTTGTGCTGGTCTTTGAATCAACACTTCTTGGCACCAAGGAGTTTGGCTCTCAAGCAGTGCCATGGCTTTCTAGGGCTTCCAGTTCCCCAATCGGGTTTAGGCGGGTTTGCAAGTCTCGGATGATCATGCGGAAAGGCCGAGTCTTGAACTTGGTTTCGATGACGACACATCGGACAGGGTTCGAGTGCCGATCGAAGCAAAACAGCTGTGTAAAGCCATGGCATGCCATGGCCCTAAAGGCCCAGGCTTGTAACTGAGCCCTGGCCCGAAGCTTGCATGTGTGCAAAGGCAGACCATGGAAGCCTTCGCGGCGGAGGTTCATCTTCTGAAAGCCTGTGGTCAGCCTGGTAAGCTGCTTGCACCGCTGGAGAGGCCCAGCAGATCGAGCAGTCAACCAGGGAGGAGCTTGAAGCGGCGCAGGCCTGGCCGCTTTTGCAACATCACGTCCCCCAGTTTCTTGGCCTTTGCGCAGTGTCTTAGGAGAGCTTAGGGCAACATGCCGGCCGCCATTTGGCCTTACCAGCGTCCTGAGTTCTTGATACCAGTGCAGGGACTGCTACAAAGTCCCAGGTTCACACCTAATCCGGAACACTGTCGAGCCAGGAAGAGCAAATAACAGCAATGATGCTTCTGCTTGCTCTTCTCTCGACATGTAGGCAAGTTCGGTTCCACAGAGCAGAGTAAAGCCTCTCGAAGCAGGAGAGGACACAGAAAGCTGCGGAGGCCGGGTGCTCTTTCCAGGAGTAGAGGCCAAGGCAGACTCCCAGACAAGCTTCTCTTCAAAAGTGCAAAAGTGTTCCGAAGCGGTGGACCATGGATGCGTGACACGGAGCTTCATCACAGGTCGGGATCTCGAGTGCTGTCCTGCAGAACGCAATATACTGCGTGATTTTTGCTCTGTAAGGGGGGTGGGGTTGGGAGGTGTGGGAGTCTCTGCGAGTCTGGCTCTGATCGTTGCAGGCGTTGACTGATGCAGAAGCGATACTCGGCGGCAGTCTGTGCAAGCAGTACTGCGAGCAGAACAGCTTCATCCGCCAGCCCATTCTTATAGTTAGCCTACCGCACGGCTTTACTATCGTGTTAAACGCAGTACTTGAGGCTGCTGGCGACGCAGCAAGCCGAATCAAAGAACAGGGAGGTGTCGCTGGCCTTTTTGCGACCGTGGCCATTTGCCCTCCCCATGCAAAGCAGCCTCTTGATTAGAGCCACGGTCGACTGACACTTAATGATTCATCTTGAGCCAGGTCGGCATGCGTGAAGACGCTTCGAAAGGGGACAGAAGCGCAGCCTTAGATGTGGCTTGGCTTTCAAGTGTGAAGGAGGAG